TATTTGCTTTCCAGTCATTCTACTTTGATCCATTCTCTCTAAATGCCCCAAACCACCTCAAAACGCCTCTTCAACCCTCGACTAATGCTTTTATTAATCCAAAACTCTCCTAATTTCCAAACTCCGAATTTTCTGCATAATATTTACCCCACACATTCCCCTTAGCAGGAAAATCCCCACGCCTCCAACCGCTCCTCGCTGCTGCATTTACCACCCAAGCTTCACATCCATATAAATTTGGTACTACTATATTTTCCATACATTCCCTTCTTTGCCTCCATAGATAACGTTTTTTGACTCACAAATCCTAAATGCACCTCACCTTTTTCCCTCATCATTCTAGATTAACCTCATCCTTCATAAATCCACCACCGACATTTTCCCCCCCAATATCTGAAACACTTCCCCCTTCTTCCATACTCCTCCTCCCAATGTACCCAATTTTTCTTTATCTAATCATTTGATACCCTCATCACCTTACTCTTTTCTATGTTCATTTTCAACTTTCTACCTTTACACACATTCTCAAACTCATCCACTAACCTTTGCAGTTTTTCTTTAGAATCTCCCATAACCCACAGTATCATCAGCAAAAAGTAACTGTGTCAATTCCCATTTTGAATTTGATTCCCAAAATTTAACCCCACCCTCTCCCGAACACCCTAGCATTTACTTCCTTTAAACCCCATCTATAAATATATAAACAACCATGGGACATTACACTCCCTGTCTAAGACCTACTTTACCGGGAAGTAGTCCCCCCTCTCTTCTACAACACCCTAACCTGAGCCTCACTATCCTCATATAAAAACTCTTAACGCATTTAGTAACTTACCACTTATTCCATATACTTGCAACATCTGCCACATTGCTCCTTTATCCCCTCTATCATATGCCTTTTCTAAATCCATAAATGCAATAAAAACTTCCCTACCTTTATCTAAATACTGTTCACATATATGCTTCAATGTAAACACTTGATCTACACATCCCCTACCCACTCTGAAGCCTCCCTGCTCATCTGCAATCCTACATTCTGTCTTACCCTAATTCTTTCAATTATAACCCTAAACCCTATACTTTTCCTGGTATACTCAGTAAACTTATTCCTCTATAATTTTTTTACAATCTCTTTTGTCCCCTTTCCCTTTATATGAAGGGACTATACATGCTTCTCCCAATCCCCTAGGTACCTTCCCCTCTTTTATACATTTAATTAAACAAAAGTACCAACCACTCCAGCACTATATCCCCCCCTGCTTTTAAACATTTCTGTCATGATCGCATCAGTTCCAGCTGCTTTACCCCCTTTCATTCTACGTAATGCCTCACGTATCTCCACCACACTTACATTCTGCTCTTCTTCACTCCTAAAAGATGGTATACCTCCCTGGCCAGTGCCCTGAAATTACCGCCTCCCTTTCTTCCCCAACATTTAAAAGTTCCTCAAAAAATTCTCGCCATCTACTTAATACCTCCCTCTCCCCATCTACTAACTCCCCTACTCTGTTTTTAACTGACAAATCCATACTTTCCCTAGGCTTTCTTAACTTGTTTACTCCAAAATTTTTTTTTTATTTTTTATTAAAATTTCTTGACAGTGCCTCTCCCACTCTATCATCTGCTCTCCTTTTGCACTCTCTCACAACTCTCTTCACCTTTCTTTTACTCTCCATATACTCTGCTTTCTTATAACACTTCTGCTTTGTAAAAACCTCTCATAAGCTACCTTTTTCTCTTTTATCACACCCTTTACTTCATCATTCCACCAAACACTCCTCTTTCCCCCTGCCCCCCACCCTCCTTTAACCACAAACTTCTGCCCCACATTCTAATACTGTTTTAAAAAAACCCTTTTCCCAAACCCCTCTTCCCCCCCCCCCATTTATTTATCTTTGCATTTAGCCCCCCTTTCGCCAATAGTCGCTTATTGTCCCCCGAATTTCCCTCCCCCCTTAGTTTTTACATCTTTCCCCCTCCCTCTTCCTTTTTGTTGCCCCCTTTCCCTCTTTTCCCATCTACCTCTTACTCAATGTAGTACAACTAAATAATGATCCGTATTTTCATTTTCCCCCCTCTTTTAAAAAATTTTTTGTACACCCTGGAGCCTCCCTTTAACCCTTTTATCAAAAAAAATAATCTAAAAAACTACTTTATTACGTGTGACAAAACCCGTGTAAAATTTTTTTACCCTTTTTTTCATAAAATATGTTTTTCTTATTACCAAATTTCTTTCCCCACATGCTAAATTTTAAAGGGCTCCCCATTTACATTTCCCCCTGGCCCCCCAAATTTCCCTACACTCCCTCCTTAACATTTTTCCCACTTTGCATTGAAACCCCCCAACCTTTTTACTCTCACACTTGATTCAAAATCCCCCCCCTTTTCACTCAACTTTTCCCCTGAATCCTCTCTCTCTCCCTCTACACTTCTCTCTTCTCCAGGTGCATACACGTTCCCTAAAACCCCACTTTTCACACCCAAAATCTTTTTTTTATCCACATAATCCTTAAATTTTATACATTTGTAGACCCCCCTTTAAACCTGCCAAGTTACCCTAAATT